ACCTGCATTGAGACTTTGCAAAGTCGGCTTCCAGGAAAGCGGAGCTCCCCTGTCAGGGGTCCCTCAGTCAGCAGATCCTTGGGCCGCCCTCAGGCCTGCGAGGCCCCCGAGCCCCTTGCTGCGTCCAGGGCCAATTCTGGATCAGTCCTGAGGCGAGGCCGCGGACCTTCAGAGTCACCAGGAGCCCGTGGCGCATTCCTCAGCCTCCACCACGCCAGTCACCTGCTCAGCCCGAGGGCAGCCAGCGGTCATCGCCCCAGTGAGGCGGCCCGTGAGGAGCTGAGGCTGGGACCAGCGCAGCGCCCGGCGAGTCAGCGTCAGTCCCGCGCCAGCCAGTTCCTCAGACAATCAGGTAACACGCCCCCATGGCCTGCCCCAGCGAGCAGTTAGCTAAGCTCGTGCCAGTCAGCCTCTTAGGAGGTCGGTCCCCTGTAAGGCACCCGGTCATTAGTCGCATGATTACCGTCTGTCTAGACCAGCTAATCGGGTTCACCCTGTGTCACTGAGTTCCCTGGAAACCCAGCCTTTATGTCAGTCATCCATAACCCAATCACTGATTGGCTGCAGCCCCCACCCACCCCTTGGCCCCCTTGGCCTAAGACATGTTCTTCATCCTCTCTGCTCCGGGGTCTAAGGAAATCTAAGTTTGAGTCTTTTCCCTGTGTCTCTTGCTCCCCTCTCTCTTCGTCCCCCTCTTCCTCCTTCCCTTTTGGGAAGGGGGTGGTGTCTGAGTCACCAGATGGCTCTTCAGCCAACAAAACTCTTTGATGTACATTCAAGGGACTCTTGTTCCCTCCTGCCAGGTCCCCTCATCAGCATACAAGTCCCCAGGAAGACACACTCCCCCGCCCCCGGGAGCTTCCTCAAGCAGCCCGGATTCTGGGCAGGAGGAGCTGGAAGATGCAAAGCGATGTTTCATGGGGGCTGAGACAGGCACAGGGAAGGACTTTCCAGACACTCCCAAGGGGCTCTCAGTATTTCCTGTGAGTCCACTCACATCTCTATGGGATTCTCAGAGCAGGACCAAGGGAAGGAACTTTAGGGGCAGAAGCTACTTAGGGGTGCACGTGGGCCTCCTGTGCTATCCTGTAACCTCAAAATCTACTTGTCTTTTCCCCCTGCTTCTCTACTCCCTCATCCTCTCAGGTGAGTTCACTTCCCTTTTCACCTGATTTGGTTTCATGTCTCTTTCCTGAGGCCCAGAGCTGTTCCCACCTTCCCGAGAAAGCTCAATGGCTTTGTCCATTCTGCAGTAGTCTGTCTGAGTATGGATGCAACTGCTGCTTCAGGCATGGGCCATCACCCAGGGTCATGAGGCCAAGGACTTCTGGACGTTGGGCAGTAGGGACAAGTGGATTGTGACATCAGTGGGCAGGGGAGCTGGGTATTGAGAAGTGAAAGATCACTCAAATGGCAGAAAGTGGTTGCCAAGCATCATGAGCATTCCTGTTCTTTCTCTCATGCTGGGACATTGGATCTTGTTGGCCTGAGAACCACAGCTCCAGTCTTCCCAAGGCCAAAGTCCCATGGGAGGAGCCATTCCAGGACTCTGGATGGCTAATGTCCCATTTTGTGTGTCTGTAGTGTGAATGCATGAATGTCCTTGGTATCTGTGGTGTATGTGTGTCTGTGTATTTGTGTGTGTTTGTGTGTGTGCCTGCAGCCTATATGTGTGTTAGAGGTGTGTGTACATCTGAGTTGTGTGTGTAATTGAATTTGTATGTGTCTGTATCTATATATGTGTATTTATATGTGTGTCAGTGTTCTTTGGGTGCATATCTGAGTTGTGTATGCATGCCTGTGTATGTTTGTGTCTGGTTGTGGTCTCCATATTTATGTATAAGGTATATGTTTCTGTATCTGGTGTGTGTATGTGTACATATCTATATGAGATGTCAGTGTATCTGTTTGTGGTCTCCGTGTTTGAGCCTGTGTGTATTTGTGTATCTCTGTGTGTGCATGTCTGAGTTGCATGTGTGTGTCTGTGTAACTTTAGGGGCAGCCTGTGGTGTGTGTGTGTATGTGTGCATGGTCAAATGCAACTTTCTCAGGGATAATGTTCATAGACAACACATTGAAGAGTATAATTGTCCCATATTCTCTATGTATCTTTCCTGTGGGTTAGGAGGGAAGAGTGTTTGGGACTCAGCGACCATAGTGTCCACATGTTTGGCCCTTCTCTTCAGGCTCCCATGTCCACAATCATCTTTGTCCTGAGGGAGAAAGGAACCCATCTGTCGTTCTCTAGTGGCCTCTAACCTTGCTAGTAAGACCAGCAGTGATGCCAGAGTCCTGAAAGGGCTGGCTCTGGGGATGACCAGCTAGTGAGTTGCATTCTGGGGTTTGGGGGATTCAGATAAGGAGTTATTATGGGGAGGGGCCTGATGATCTGGTGCAGTAGATCGTGAGAGGCCATGGGTGAGGAGAGAGCCAGCCCCAACGTAGGCACTCCTAAGCAGACTGGGGACCAGAAAACAAGGCACATAGGTATGTTAGAAGGGCATGAAGTTCCTGTTTATACGTCTCAGGGCTCTACCAGCAGAGCCCAAGCTTCCTGCCTCTTCATGACTCTGGGGCTCAGGGTAGCCTGGGCAAGAAAGAAACTGTAGGAAAAGGAAAATACTGTCCCAGATTGAAAAAGTGAAAATCAACCCAGTTGGATAAAGAAAAACAGCCAGGAAGTTACTGAGGCCGAGTGGGAGGACATCTACAATATTAAAAAGGAATCTTATTTCTCTCAAGGTCTTGTAATAGCTGTAAAATGCCATGAGGATTTTCTGTAAATGATTAATACTTTCTCACCAAAGATGCCCTGAAACCAGCTTTGTTATTCCCATTTAATTAATGGGATTACCCATGTATCCCATCCTAGTCCCAGAGCTGTACCAATCTCTAGTTAATGCCCATATGGAGTGAGAAGCCCAAGTCTGAGGATGAAAGCACACCCTAGAGGGTCTCAAACACCGCTGACTAGCCACATCAACCTAGGATGTCACCAGACCCTTCCCTGGGCTCCTGCTACCTCTGCACTGGAGTCTGATCGAGGTTCTGCCCCATACCTCCCAGGGATGATGCTCCACCCACCAGAAAACACTCTGGCCCCTGAGAAGACCCAGGCAGGGGAGCTGTCACTGTCTGTGACTATTTGAACTCAGATACTTCCCAACTCTGCAGAAGGGCTTGACCCCAGAGGTTGGGGTCTCAGTCCTAGCCCAGGAAGGCAAAGGGGTGGGAAGCATCCAGACCTGCTTTAGAGGGATGAATGGAGTCAGGGGTGGGGCAGACAATCAGGAGTGGATGGTGCTGGGCTCACTTCTCTGGCTCCTTTTCCTACTCCTCCTATTTCCTGACAATGTCCCTCATAAGAACGATGTCTGTCTATCTGCCTCTCCTGGCTTAGCCACAGGGAAGAAGGATGTGCTTGCTAAGTAAGCCCCTCTGTTTACTAATATCTGCATTGTTTCTTTAAATATCTTGCTTCATACCAGACACACACACACACACACACACACACACACACACACACACACACACCCCAGCTCTGGAAGTGAAGGGGTAGACTTCACATTTGATAAAGGAGAAAATCAGACTTTCTGACTTGATCATTTTCTCCAGTTCTGCCCACTAGTCCCAGTGTCACTAAGCAGAAGAGGAGAGTCTCAGGCCTAATGGTGAAGGATAGCACTTCATGGCCACTTATTTCTGGCTCAAACTGATCCTCTTTTCTGGTAATGTGGGACTCACCTGATGTTGAGGGACTCCCCTTTTACCCAGGAGAGGATGAACCTAGGGAGCTCACCTGGCTGCCTTCTGCTGCTGGATTAGGGGCTGGGAAATGGTGGGGCAGGGTATCCTTTCTCAGTGAGGAGAGATGCAAGATACCTGGCCTCTGTGTTGTTCCTCCAGTCCTGGGGTCCTAAAGTAGTCACCTTCTTCTTACCTCTGATCAGAGTTCTCCTTTGGTGTCCCTTGGACCATTTACAGGATTTATAGTTGTGCTTAGAGGGGAGGAGCAGGGACAAAATGAGTCGATGTTATCTTGTCTGCTCCAGAAGTCTGTCATCTTTTCATGGTGTAATAGATAGGTTGATTGGTATCACCAGCCTGTCATGACCATAGAAAGACATGTGACTCAGCCGTTCTTTCTGGGATAAGGGAGCGGGGGTTAGGCATCAAACTTTTTTTTTTTTTTTTTGATACAGATGCTCTGTCCCCCAGGCTGGAGTGTAGTGGCGAGATCTTGGCTCACTGCAACCTTGCCTCCCAGGTTCAAGCGATTCTCACGCCTCAGCCTCCTGAGCAGCTTGGATTACAGGTATGTGCCACCACACCCGGCTACATTTTGTATTGTTAGTAGAGACGAAGTTTCACTATGTTGGCCAGGCTGATCTCAAACTCTTGACCTCAAGTGATCCGCCTGCCTAAGCCTCCCAAAGTATTGGCATTACAGGTATGAGCCACTGTGCCAGGCCCACACATTGTTTTAAGCAATACCAGAATCTTCCATTTGTTTATCTAAGGGTCATTATGAGCTTATGGCATAATGCTTTCACTCCTGTCATGGTTTGGGTGCTGCTGATGAATTTGGGGCTGGTTTTCTCAAACTGATTTTTATCTTTTTAATTAGACTTTTTAGGAGGATGATTGTGAGTTTCCTTTTGCACATCTACCTTGGAGGTCATTTGGAAGGATGAGATGTTAGCCCAATAATGACATGGTGACAGCCTTTCCTGGAGGAGGAATGTAGATGCAAACAGAGAGGGAGGAATGCATCAGAATGGGGTCCATAGAGTGTAGGATGTGGCAATGGAAGAGTAGACTGGGTGAGATTCAGAGCGACATAGAATAGAGGTCAGCACACTATAGCAGGTGGGCTGCCTGTTTTTATAAATAGCATTTTGTTGTAACACAGCCATATAATTCATTTGCAGATTGTCTGTGGCTGCTTTGGTGCTACAATGGCAGAGTTTAATAGTTGCAACAGAGACGATTTTGCTTGCAAAACTGAACATGTTTACTATCTGGCCCTTTGCTAATACTGGTTGACCATCTCTGACTTAGAATGTCACATTAGAATGTCATTCTTGTGGGCTGGGGATCTAGGGAAGTATTTTGACTATGGTCAGCTCTGAGTTTTAGAAAATTTCCCAAATGCTAATATGTGATTTTCCTTGTAGCAGGACATAAAGAAAGGAGAAATCTGAGCAGGAGACAGGTGGGATAGAAAGGGAAGATTCAGGAGTGGAGAGAGATGATGTTGGAGGGCAAGTCAGGGAAGACATGCATGGTGGTGTTTTGACCAGCAAGTGCGATGGACATGTTGCTGATATAATTTCAGGGATCAAAGGTCACTAATGCCTTCTGTTCAAGGGGGAAGGAACCAGTATGCGTCAAACTCTCACTGCACCAGGACTGGCATTTTTCATGCGTACTTTTATTTAATGCTCACAGGATCCCTATGAGATAGGACTTCTTGCACCTATTTCACAGAGAAGGAAATGGAGACATGGAAGGTTAAGGAGCTTGTGTGATAACATACACTTTGTAAATGAAGGAGCACAGATTTGATTCCAGCACTCTCTAGTGACAAAGTCTAAGATGATGACATTATAGCAGGAAACTCACATAATGTCTATAAACCCATTGCCTGTAGGGTGTTAAATCTCCAAGAATTAGCCTTTGGTCCCTGACCCATAGAGGATATGAATCTTCTAGCTGAGGCCGATGCTTTTGTGGGTTCTTCAGTGGGTCCTGACCTCTGAGTATTCCGTGGAGGTGTCCTTGGAAGGATTCATCCCATGAAAGCTGAGGGAAGCATAATGCAGCTCTTCGTCCATCCCCACAGTAGGGGCGGCACAGTAGGTTTCAGTGGGGCCATGTAACTTGGACTTCCTCTGGTGTTCCTTATGGAGAGAAAAGAAGGGGGTTAGGGCAGGGCAGTAATGAGGGGGGCCGGGAGAAGGTAGAGAGGGTCAATGAAGTAAATTTGACTCTGACAGAACGTTTATTCATTTATTTCATTTATTTATTCATTTAGTTCATTCTTTCATCAAATGTTTATTAAGCCTCCACTTATTCATTATCTAGCAGTTGTAGCATGTATTGATTGATTCCCAGTTCTCTTGAATACACACACGGACCAATGTGGAAAAATTCTGGGCAGCTACGTTGACATCATCTTTAGCATCCATAATTTTATCCATTTCACAGACCAGGAAACCAGGTCTCAGAGAGTTTAGGTAATTCCCAAGGTCACACATCTGTTGACCCTGAACTCAGTCCCAGATCTCTGGGACCTCCTACACAAAACAGGGGACATTGTATCATGGGAGACACAAGAGCAGATGCTGGAGAAATGGCAAGTCTACAGGGTACTACCATTTTCTTCTGCAGGCCCATTTCTTGGTTCTAGATATGGTGCAGTGTTTCTCAAAAGTGTCCTTCAACTCACAGTTACTGCTTCCTTTCCTCCCATTCTCTCTTGAACTCTCTCTAGTCAAGAGATCTTCCTCCAGCAAAAAATCAGATCTGCTTTGCTGTCGTACTACTTAGCTACATGCAAATAGTCATTTCTCAAACTCTGTGTTAACCAGACTTACCAGCACTTGAAACAAATGGCCAATCTCTCCTCCATGAAGCTCCATCTCCCCTTGGCTACCAACACTAGAGCCTGCACTTTCTTGGTCATTGGCTCCTACTCAGTTGCCACTCATTCTCAGTTTTCTCACCATTTACACCTCATCTCCCTAACATTAAATGCTGGAGGGTTCCAGGGGTATGGTCCCCTGCTTTTCTTTGTAGATTCATTCACTATTAGTTGTTGCTATGGAAGCCCTCAACCTCTGTGTCTCCCGTAGAGACCCCTCTTCTGAGCTCCAGACACTTGCCTGCTACTTGTCGTTTCCACTTGGATGTCTCAGAGGCACCTGAAACTTACAGTAACCAAAATAATGTTTGCTATACACTTGAAAATATACTTCTCCTTCAGGGTTGGCAATTTTAATCATTGGCAATTTGATATTTTAGTTTGAATTCTGAGTAAATCACATGAACATCATATTTGGCATCTATAGACATCTATGAAATCTATGGAGTCTTCTTAGGCATCTATGACATCTGTGATATCTGTGGACCCGTGACATCTGAGACAGCTATCAAGCAGAGGTCGTGAGCTATCTTTGCTCATGCCTTGCATGCACTCCATCACTCCATTTACAAATATTGTTGACTCCACCTTCAAGGTGTATCTGGAACCACATTTTTCTACATCAGATTCATCATTCTTAGTTGGAACTAAGTCTGAGTCAGTCATCTCTTGGTTTGATTTTCTGTGTATCCTCTATTCTGGTATCTTCTCTTCTGTCCTATGTACTAGAATTTCTCATGGAGCAGCCAGAGTGACTCCCACTAAAATGAGTGTCTGTTCATGTCACTCTTCTGCTCTAAAAGCATAAATAACTATAATGAACTTAGGACCCTGCAATATTTGCAGCTTCTATGTCTCTTCAACTTCATTTCCTACCTGCAGTTGCTCAGTCCACAGCCCACACCCAACATGTAACTCTGCCTTATCCACACTGTCTTAACTGTTGTTTCTCTAAAACATCAGCTGTGCTCCAGCCTCAGAGCCTTGCTGCTCCCTCGATGATTCTCTAGTGCTCGCACTGTACTCCTTTTCTTCCTGGAGGTGTTTGCTCAAAGGCTACTCTTTGGCCTTTAGGACTGTCTAATCCATTCTCCCATTTCATTTCTTTCCATAGCACTTACTTCATGCCTATTTCATGTATATTTGCACTACTTATTTGTTCATTATTTTCATACCTTTCACCAATTGATGTAAGCCCCTGATAGGAGGAATATTTTATATTTGTAAAATATGTGTTTATAAAACTGGCACAAGGACCTACAACAATTGACAAATGGTATTATATAGATATTTGCAGAATGAATGGGTGCTTATTGACCCTGTGTTCAAAAACTTTACTGTGGTGTTCACTTTAGTCAGAGTTAAATTAAAAAAAAAAAAATCAGAGCTTGAAGGATGCACTGGAGTTGGGCAGGTAGCTATTAGGAATTTGAGGAGGAGGGGACAGCTCAGCAATGATTCTGAGATGAAAAACCTTGCTCCGCTTGAGGTGATTGAGTGGCTAATGTTGGGGGAGCATAGTGCTGATGGTGATTCTGGTTTTCCTGCCCCAAATGCCAGACCAAGTTGTTGGAATGCCGGTCTTTCAGCAGTATGGAGAAGAAGTGCATTTCAAACTTGGAAATGATGAGACAATTACCTTTTATGGGGCTAATGCTAATGTTCTGGAGAGGAGAAATGGGAGATAAGGCTGTAGCAGAATAAGGAGTGGGAGGGTATCTTGGCTCAGAAGGAGTGGTTGTGTTAAGCTGTGTCCAGAGGAAGCTCAGACGTGCATCGTAGCATACTGGCACACGAAGAAGAGATGGAGAACTGGGGCAGAAGGGGGCCAGGTCTGTGGCTGGTTAATGGGGACAAGAGTGCCGTCAGTGAGATGGAGAACCCATCAAGAGAAATATGTTTAGGGGTGTGTCAACCAAGTGTTTCTGATGTTTTGACATCTGGGGCATTGCTGACCCTCGAGAGGCTTCCTCTCCCAGGGATAGTAGATTTCTAGAGATGATAAAGGACTTGCTTACAAGTGTACCTTTCATGTGCAAACGAGTCAATCTAAAGCCCACACTACCGACTGGATCTTTTATTGAGCCACACTCCAGGCCACAATCCTCCTGCCCTAATTAACCAGGGCCACATACGAGACAACTAGAGACAAACCCTATACTCCAGAGTCTGCTGAAATTGTTCAAGGTAGCCAATTGTAAACCCGCCTAGCTTGCTTATCCTGTCTTGTCCATTCTTTTCCATGAAAGCCACAATAAAAGCTCTTGTCCCATTTTCCCTTTGCCCCCTCTGCTTCCTGACTGACCCTGGTGCTTCTCTACATGGATTTGCGTGGTGTGGCATGCCCTCTCCTCTTGGGAATGGTGAATAAGAAACTACCTTTCCAGTGGCCATCATCTCCTGATCTGTTGGCCTCAACATACCTGAATAAAATTAAAACCTGCAATGTTAAACAGGAGGAAAGACAATGAGCTCAGTTCTGGAAATGCTGAATGGGGCATGTCTGTGGGCCATCTTGGGAGGAGGTGTCTGCAGGGCAGACTGGATGTCAGGATACCCCGTCACTCACCAGGGAGGCTGGCACTCTGGCAGGGTAGGTGTCATTCCTGCCCAATGCTGTCCTGGCTGCTTTCCTCCTGTGGATCTTCACTCTGATGGAAGACACCAGGGTCTTTGAGCCTGGTTTTCTCAGGCTGTAGGGCCATTATTATGAGTCTGGAATGAGGGACTTTGGCAGGTAAGGGGTGGGATTAATCCATAAGCCTTCAAACAAGACTTAGTAACAAGGTCTCCTTCTACCTCCCACTTCTTGGACATCTGAGACCAGGGGCCTAGCCCAGTGGCTACAGGCTGGATTCTGTACACCCACCTTACTCCCTGCCCTTTCTCCAGCCCTCACAGCCCCTCTAGGACCCTTCTACACCAGGTCCATCCTCTTCACCTCTGGCCCACACCTGACCCAGAGAAAATGCTCACATGAAGAAGATGAGGCAGAGACAAAGAATGAGCAGGGCTGTGACACCAGCTCCTCCGATGGCCCCTTGAACCACTCCTGCTCTGGTCTCTTGTTTCTCTGCAGACAAAAAAGACTTAGGGTGAACTCTAATCTTGATAAATAGGTATGTGTCTCCTCCTCTCCAGCATGTAGATAGAGAGGGTGTCTTCACCTCCAAAATAGGATTCAGCTCCTAGATCTTCCCACTCATCATGGGACATCAATATAGACCGCCACCATGAGATAAAGCACACAGTGCACCTAACACCTCTTGTTCAGCCCTCTCTTTCTGGTGCACAAGACACCATCTCTTCTAGCAGCCAGGTACCTCTCCATCCTGGGTTTCTCTGAAATGGACCTCAGAAATAGCCACTGAAGTACTGTGAAGCTCTGAGCCTCTTTGGGGTGGTGGGGGGAGACAGAGAGAGAGAGAGATTGAGAGCACAAGCACTGGAATGCTGATAGGCCTTGTCTCTTCTTTCTTCCCACTGACCCCATCACTCAGGGTCAAAGGTGGTCCTTTTGGCCTTCAAAAGAGCCTGGAAGCAGGGTGGGGCAGGGAGGTGATTCTCAGACCTTTGGGTCAGACCCAGGCAGTTCTCCTGGACCTGCCTGTCTGTGCCTTCTAGATCCCAACACTCAGAGTCAGAGGCGTGTCTCTGAACATCATCTGTCAACAGTTTGATGACCACTACTGAGGGAACTATTCCTGCCTTTGCTGAGCTTACTGTCCAGTGAGGGACCAGATGCCATTATTAATTGGAATAGGGCAGTGGAGAGAGCATTGGTCTTTGGAACAGAGGTCACGGCTAAGGGTTGAGTTATGGACAGTAGAAAAAAAATGCCCTAAAGAGATTTTTAGGGAAGTGTGATTATTCTATATGATACTTTTGTGATAGATTCATGTCATTATACATTTTTTAAAAATCTGTAAAATGTACAACACCAGGAGTGAACCCTAATGTAAACTATGGCTTTGGTTGACAATGGTATGTCAGTATAGGTTTATTGATTGTAACAAATGTATCACTCTGATGGTGGGGGAGACTATGTATGGGGGTAGAGGGTATATGGGAAGTCTTTGTACCTTCTGCTCAATTTCTTCTGTGAACTTTACACATGAAAAATAAAGCTCATTTAAAAATGCTCCCAAGATGTTCACTGACTAGAAGATTCCACTCAGTTTTGCTCTGAAACTAACACTACTCTAAAAAATAAAACCTATTAAAAATGCCCCCATCGGAGCAAAATGGCTGACTAGAGGTACCTGGAGTTCATCCTCCCCTGTGACTCCCGGACAGGAAAGGACCAAGGCAATGAATAAACAGCAAAGATTTGAGTGGTGTGTCAAAGGGAGAGTACTGTAATACAGCAGGGCAATGGAGAGTTACCTGTGGTAATTGGAAGCCCAAGAGGGCAGCATGGAGGCACCCAGCCCTTGCTGCTCCATCTCCACAGCCCAGATTGGTTTGTCCCAGAGACAAGAAGGATTTCCCCTTATAGAGAAATAATAAACAAGAATCCAACCAATCCCCAGTGCCACTGCAGATCCCTACGTTCCTTACTACTGGTGAATCCTACAGTCTTCATAAGCTCTGAGCACAGTTGGAAGAGATGCCAGGAATTCATGCAGCTGCATGGTTCTGGATTAGGAGCACATGGTGTGCACTCCCAGCTCCCTAACCAACCCCTGTGGGCAAGCTGCTGCAACATAGCACCACCTTGGGACCACAGCCATCTCTGGAATATACCTCCTCCGGGGGCCAGTGGCCATGCACTGCTTCATCATTGTAACTACATCTTCATTCCCCTAAGCCTGCACTAGTGGCTGAATACCACAATTAGATCTGCATGGAGCCTGAGCCCAGGATTGGCTGTGACTCTGGTCCTGAACAGCAGGGAAACCAGCCTCTGCTACCTGTAATTCCAGCCAGAGGAACAGTCTTATAGTCCCACTCAAGGTGAACACATAATTGAGTTGGCCAAGCTACTGTACACACTATCCTGAATGGGAGAGGCCCCTGACATAACAAAGAGCTGATACATCCCTAGGCTGGGGGAGAGGTTATGTGCCCACACACAGGCCCTGAGAGGCATGCCTCTGGCCTGCCCAAAGGCCACTCTCCCACAATTAGGGCCTGAGAAAGAGCCTTGTGGGCCAGCCCTTTAGACATAACCCCAGGCAAATTGAGCAGCTGTGTGCTTGCCTTCTAGTCCTGAAAAACAGCCCCATGGTCTACCACTGGCTGGTACACGTTCTAGGCCAGCCGAGCAGTCGTACACCCATATCCCAAACCCTAGATAAAGCTCTGAGTGCTGCTCCTAGCAAAAACACACCTAGGCCAGCCAAGAAGTCATTCAACTTCATCCCAGCCCTGCAAAACAGCCATGTTGGCACCTCCAGCAGACGTACCCCAGGTCAGCCAAGTAGTGGGACACCTGTGTCCCATTGTTTTAATTCATGACTTGAAAGAGAAATTAAACAAAAAGATGTAATATCCAAGCAGAAATCCTCAGCTGAGAACTCAATAAATGAAATAAAAAATGAAGCACTCCACAATCGAGAGCTTCAACAACAGACTAAGCCAAGCAAAAAAAATAATAATTTCTGAACTTGGCAGATCCGAAATAACACAGGCAGGTAAAAACAAGAGAATAAAATAGAATGAAGAAAGCCTACAGGATTCACAGGACACAATCAAGCAAGTATTCACATTATGGGATTTCCAGATGGAGAAGAGAATGGAAAAGGTATAGAAAACATATGCTACATCAAATAACAGGTGAAGACTTCCCAAGCCTTGGGAACTAGAAGGACATTGGGTTCCAGGAAGCTCAAAGTACCCTCAAAATATTCAACCCAAACAAGTCCTCTCCAATGCTCATTATGCCAAATTGTCAAAAGTCAAGTAAAGAATTGTAAAAACAGCAAGGTGAAAGTGTCTAGTGACATATAGGATTATTCTTATTCTAACAGTGAGTTTCTCAGCAGTAACATTATAGGCCAGGAGAGAATGGGATGTCATACTCAAAGTACCGAAAGAAAAAAATTTAGCAGTCAAAAATACTATACTAATGAAATAAAAAGTTGGCTTTTTGAAAAGATAAATAAAATTGATAATCATTAGCTAGACTAAGAGACAGAAGACATAAATGAATAAAATCACAAGTGAAAAAGAAGATGTCACAATGGTTACCACAGAAATACACAAGATCATTAGACACTACTATGAACAATATGCCAATAAATTTGAAAGTCTAGAAGAAATGGTAAGTTTCTGAACACATATAATCTACCAAGATTGAAACAAGAAGAAATAGAAAACCTCAACAGGCGAATAACAAGTAATGAGATTGGATGAATAATAAAAGTTCTCCCAACAAAGAAAATTGCAGGGCTAGATGGTTTCAGTGCTGAACTTTACTGAACCTTTAAAAAAATAAAATAACACCAACTCTTCTCAAATGACACCAAAACCAGAAAGGAGACAATAAAAAAAAGAAAACTACGGGCCAATATCCTGATGAACATAGATGCAAAAATATTTAACAAAATACTAGCAAATTGAATCCGACGATACATCGAAAAGATAATACAGCATGATAAAGTGGGATTAATCCCAAAAGGCAAGAATGATTCAACATATGCAAATCAATAAATGTGATACATTATGTCAATGGAATGAAGGACATAAACCATGTGATCACCTAAATAGTTGTAGAAAAAAAGCATGTGATATAATTCAATATTGCTTCATGATAGAAACTCTCAATAAATTAGGTACAGATGGAAAGTACCTCAACACAAAAAAGGCCATATATGACAAACCCATGGCTAACATCACACTGAAGGCAGAAAAGCTGAAAGCTTTTCCTCTAGGAACTGGATATCCACTTTTACCACTCTTATTCTACATAGTACTGAAAGTCCTACCAGAGCAATTAGGCAAGAGAAAGGAATAAAAACCATCCAAATTGGAAAGCAGGAAGTTAAATTGTCTCTGCAAATGACATGCAAAAACCTAAAGACTTGGCCAAATGCAGTGGCTCATGCCTGTAATCCCAGAACTTTGGGAGGCCAAGGTGGGCAGATTGTTTGAGGCCAGGAGTTCAATACCAGTCTGGCCAACATGGTAAAATTCCATCTCTTAAACAAAACAAAACAAAAAAACTACCAAAAAACCCTGAAGACTCTAGCAAATAAAACCTCCTAGAACTGACAAATGAATTTAGTAAATTTGCAGGATACAAAATCACTGTACAAATATCAGTTCCATTTCTATACACAGACAATGAACTAGCTGAAAATAAATCACAATGGCAATCACATTTACAATAGCTATAAGAGAATGAAGTATACCTAGGAATAAAGTTAACCAAGGAGGTGACAGACCTCAAGAAGAAAAACTACAAAACACTGAGGAAATAAATTGAAGAAGATACAAACAACTGGAAAGACATTCCATACTCACGGATCAGATGAATTAATATTGCTAAAATGACTATACTACCTAAATAAACCTACAGATTCAAACCAGACTCTATCAAAATACCAATGTCATTCTTCACAGAATTAGAAAAAAATCTTAAAATTCACATGGAACCAAAAATAGCCTGAATAGTCAAAGCAATCCTAAGCAAAAAGAACAAAGCTGGAGGCATCACACTACCAAATTTCAAAGTACACTACAAAGCTGCATTAACCAAAACAGCATGATATTGGCAAACAGCAGATACATAGACCAATGATACAGAATAGAGAAGACAGAAATTAACGTACTATCTACAGCCAACTGAATTTTAACGAAGGCATGAAGAACACTCATTGAGGAAAGAGCAGTCTCTTCAATAAATTATGCTGGGAAAACTGGTGCCATATACAGAATAATGCCACTAGACTCATACCTCTCATCCTGTACAAAAATCAATTCAAAATGGATCAAAGACCTGAATATAAGACACAAAAATATAAAAGTACTAGGAGAAAGCATAGGGGAAATGCTTTAGGACATTGGTGAGGAAAAATATTTTATGAATAAGACCTCAATAGCACAAGTAACAAAAGCAAAAGTGAATAAATGAGATGATATCAAGCTAAAAAGCTTGTATGCAATAAAGGAAACAATCCAGAGTGAAAAGGCACCTACAGAATAGGAGAAACTGTTTGCCAGTTGTTCATCTGACAGGTGATTCATATCCAGAATATATGAGGAACTCATACATCTTGATGGCACAGAAAACCCCAATCTGATTAAAAAAATGGGTAAATTATCTGAAACATTTCTCAAGGGATGATATACAGATGGCTAACAAGTGTATAAAAAATGTTTAACATCACCAGTCAACAGGGAAATGCAAATAAAAACCACAATGAGGTAACATCACCCCAGCTGGGAGGACTGTGATAAAAAGATGAAAATCAACAAATGCTGTTGAGGATGTAGAGAAGCGGGAACTCTTATATACTTTTGGCCAGAATGTAAACTAATATAACCAATATGGAGGACGAGTATGGAAGTTTCTCAAAAAACTACAAATGGAGCTACCATATGATCCAGCAATTCTACTACTGGGCATTTATACAAAGAAAAGGAAATCAGTATATTGAAAAAATGTCTGTACCTCCATGTTTATTGCAGCACTATCCACAATAGGAAGATATGAAATCAACCTAGGTGTCATTCAACAACAGGTGAATGAATAAAGAAAATGTGGCATATATACATAGCGGATTATCATTCAGCCATAAAAAATAAAGAAATCTTGTTATTCATTATAACATGGTTTGAGCTAGAGGACATTTTGTTAAATGAAATAAGCCAGGAACAGAAAGTTAAATACTACATGTTCTCACTTATAAGCAGAATCAAAAGAAGTTGATTTCATAGAAGTGAAAAGTAGAACAGAGAATAGTAAGGACTGGGAAGGTTAGGGGAACAATGATAGGGAAAGAAATTTGTTAAAGGATACAACATTACACCTGGAAAGGAAGAATAAGTTCTCGTGTTCTATACCACTGTAGGATGACTATGGTTAACAATAATATATAGTTTCAAATAGCTAGAAAGAGGAAATTGAATGTTCCCAATACAATGAAATGATAAATGTTCAAGATGAGGGATATGCCATTACCCTGATCTGATTACTATACATTATTAGTATTGAAACATCATTATGCAATCCACAAATATGTACTATTATTATATATATCAACTAAAAATAAAGTAAAATACCCCAAGACATTCAGTGACAGGAGTGAGATAAAGAGCATTATTTGGATGGGGAAGGAAGAAGTTGCTAGTCATTTCCAAATATCCTTATCCAAGGTGCCTGGTGTCTGTCTACCTGTGTCTAATTACAGGCCTTGCCTCTGAACATTTGACTCAGAAAGTCCAGATCTGACCAAACCTGACACAGGCTCAATACCAGTAACAGCCCCAGGCAGAGAGGCTCCTTCTTACCTGGGCCATCTCCTAGACAGATACCAGTGGTTGGGTTATGTGGAGCATCTAGGAGAGGAAGAGAGGGTTTCCTTCATTTGTGGGTAGGGGATGAAATAAGGGTAGACATTTCCCCTTACTCCTACCAGAAGCCACAGAAATGCAGAAGGGACAGGGCTTATGTCCTTCTAGCTCCCAAACTTGGCCAGGCTTCCAGGACACTAAATGTCCCCAGCCCCAGCCCATCCTGTCTCCCCTGCACCCTCAGAGACCACAGCATCCTGGCCCAGCACTTACAGGTGACATTGAACTGGATGGTTCTCTCTGTGGTCACAGCAGCTCCGGGGAACTTCACCTGACAGGTGAGGTTGGTGCCATGGTCCTGGGGCCGTGGGGTGATGATGAGCACGGAGGAGTGGGTAGTCCTGGGGCCCAGGGAGGTGGGGGAAGCTGACATCCAGGAGAAGATGGGGGGTGTTCCCTGCTCACAGGCCCAGGGCACAGAGCAAGTCAGGTTTTTGGAATGGCCAGGGTCTAGGGGTCCAGGGATGAGGATATTGGGCCTGTGGGCCAAGTCTGATGAGGAGAAAGCAGGGGATGCAAGATCAGGAGGGAGGGTCCAGGTGAGGCCCTGAGAGAAGATGAAGCCCTGGTCAAGCTCCCCCTGTAAGCATGACAGGCTTTACTCCTAAACCCCTCCCAGTATCGGGGTTCCATCCCAGCCCTGCCCTGCAGTACCCTTCAACTCCCCTTGTGGCCACTTCTGGAGCCCGTGCCTCACCTGTCACATGCACAGAGAGCTGGGTGGATATGTAACTGTATTTGGTACTTCCTGTCTCTATCCGAAAGAAGTATGAGCCATTGTCCCTCCTCCTGGCATCTATGATGCTCAGGGAGCAGTTGTTCTTCCTGGGATCCCCAAGAAGGCGGAATCGGCCCTGGGTCTCCTCCTGTACTTCTCGATCTGGGTTGTTTGTGGCCACTGGAGAGTCCAGGGATACAGTGGCTTCTTTCCCGAACCAGTAACCATAAACTGGGTTATTCCTGAGGTAGGAGGGTGGGAGGGAGAAAGTGCAGGACACGAGGACGCACAAACCCTCCTGCACTGTCACTGAATCCTGCACTTTCAGCCAGAATCTTGAATCCTTAGCCAGGGCCCCTGTGGGGAAATGAGGATCAGCTTGGCCCAGCCCCATGACCCCTCTCCCCACAGCCACTCACCTGCCCACAGCAGGGGCGGCAGCAGCAGCAGTGACATCTTTGAGGCAGAGACCTCCTGGGCTCCCTGTGTGAGCAGAGAAGAGGAAGGAAGTGGAGGGAAAGGGCTGCAGAACTGAAAGGGAAGCTGGGGAGGAGCAGGAGACCTCAACCCCTGCACAGAAGAGGAACCTCAGACCCACACGTGTTCAGAGCTCATTTCCTCCACACACATTGGACAGATCCCTCATGGGCCAGAGATGCCAGAGACCTGCCGAGAGAGGGGAGGAAATGAAGCAGAACCTGAGTCTTGCCTCCCAGGAGCACCAGAGCTTGGACCAATACCTCTGGTGACATCTGAGGCATGGGACACCCATGTCTAAAGTGCCTCCACTCTGGGGTGCTTTTCTGTGAGCAATTGTTTACACGAGGGAGCTGGCCACTCCTGGCCTGATCCAATCTCAGCCTCTTTTTGACCTGTAGGGTAGTCTGTCCTGCAGGATATAGGTTTCTGAAGGGTTCGTGTAAGTGTCTGGGGCAGAAAAAATGAAGAAGGGTCCTAGGTGCAGTGAAGGTGGCAGCCATTCATTCATACATTCATTCATTCACCAAAGCTATACCAAGCATCTATGTGTCAATGGAGCTGGAGACAAGAAGAGATGCTACTCACCTGGTCTCCACCCTTTAGATACTCCCCATCCATAGCCTCCCATTCACCATACACAAATCCTGCCTGGCTTTACAACTGTGGATGCTGGTGACTGTCATATGTCGTGGTAGCAAATTAGGTATTTTAAGGAAATAAGACTATAGATTTTCTTCACCTGGCAGTTAGGACACTGATTTGCAGTGTTTCAGTGACATCTCCAAAATAAGAAATATGCAGTACTTTCATGTAAAACAAAAGCTTCTTAGAACAAATGCAGAAGAAATTTCTTTTCCGTTAGTGTTGCCATTTCCCTGCAGTGGGGACAGCAGCAATTTTTTTATGGGGCTCACCATAGAGATTAGCTTTCTTGTAAAAATATGCTTCTCATAGTTAAATGTGGCCCAAAGAGATAATATTTCCAGACAACATCAGTGGAATGTACAGACAAAATTAAAATTTAGCTTCAGCTTATATGGTGTTTCTTTCTTTTTTTTGAGACGGAGTTTCGCTCTTGTTACCCAGGCTGGAGTGCAATGGCGCGATCTCTGCTCACCGCAACCTCTGCCTCCTGGGTTCCGGCAATTCTCCTGCCTCAGCCTCCTGAGTAGCTGGGATTATAGGCATGTGCCACCATGCCCAGCTAATTTTTTGTATTTTTGGTAGAGACGGGGTTTCACCATGTTGACCAGGATGGTCTCGATTTCTTGACCTCGTGATCTACCCGCCTCGGCCTCCCAAAGTGCTGGGATTACAGGTGTGAGCCACCGCGCCCGGCCTTGGTTTTTCATTTTACTCTGTGAGGCAGATCCTCAATGCCTAAGACATAATAGTATTTGCAACCATATACAGGTAAAATCTCTATACACAGTAGTATCTAGATAAATGTTCATTCCTCCTACTTACCATAGAGAGCTATTTTCATCCTCTTTTTATATATAAGGAATTGAGTCCCCAATAAATAATATCTTGCTGTATATTATTTTAAAATAAAGTATATGCATATAATAGAATATCCAGTATATTTACTTTTAACAGTAAGAAATTATACCATGTTCATGGACTAGAGGGATACATGACTATGTGAGTCTTATTGTGTTTGTTTAATGAACAAGGTATAATTTACTAATGAACTAGGTATAATTTACTAATGAACTATAATGAACTAGGTATAATTTACTTGAAATAATGTGCACCCACTTGAAGTGTTTGTTTCCATGAGTTTTGACAAGTGTATACAGCCCTATTGTGACTGCCACAATAATATACACAACATTTCTACTACACCAAGGGCTTTACCTAACCTCTTTGTAGTTCATCATTCCCACTTCTTGTGCCAGGCAACCACCAATATGCTCTCTCACATGGTGTGTCACTTTTGCCTATTTCAAAATTTCATAGGAAGAAATGTACTCATCTGTGTCTGTATTTCTGACACTCAGCATATGTTTTGAAACTGAACTAAGTTGTATGTACCTATAGTTCACAGTGTGATGTTGCTAAATAGCATCCCATTATATGGATATACTATAGTCTCATATTTATTCACCTATTGATAGACATTTGAGACTTCCCCATTTTTTCACTAATGATACCCACACGGAAGTCTTTTTATTGACATATTTTTATCCTCATGAGTATACATAAGAAGAGGAATGATAAGACCAAACCCTACTTGTATGTTTAATTTTGGTAGAAATTGCCAAATTTGTCCAAAAATAATTTGACTTTTACCACTTTTTCCAGTCATGTGCCAGAATACCAGTAGTTCCATACCCTTGTAAATACTTGGTATTTTCACTCTTTATATTTTGATACTTCTAATAAGAATTTAATAGTATCTCATGTTTTTCCATTTATTTTATTATTATTTATTTTTTTTTGAGACAGAGTCTTGCTCTGTTGCTGTAGTGCAGTGGCATGATCTTGGCTTACTGCAACCTCCGCCTCCTGGGTTCAGGCAATTCTCCTGCCTCAGCCTCCTGAGTAGCTGGGATTACAGGCACGTGCCACCACGCCCAGCTAATTTTTGTATTTTTAGCAGAGACGGGGTTTCACCGTGTTGGTCAGTCTGGTCTTGAACTCCTGACCTCGTGATCTGCCTACTTTGGCCTCCCAAAGTGCTGGGATTACAGGTGTGAGCCACCACACCCGGCCCAATTTTTTATTTTATTTAAATTTGGATACAGTTGAATTCAGTCTTTATCATGTACAATTCTATGTGGCCGACTGATGTAGATAACTATGTAGCCAAAACTACTACTGTATCAAGTGTCAGCAGATTGTCATTACCTATAATACTTCCTCCTGCTGTCCTCTGGTAGTCAACCCTCTCTTCACCCTTAACTCCTAAAAGGACATTGATCTCTTCTTCATCCATATTGATATGCCTTTTATAGAATGCCATATACATGGAACCATACAAAATGTTGCCTTTAAAGCCTGAGCCCTGTGATTGGGCAAATACATCAATAATTGTTCTCTTTAATTGCTGACTGGTACTGCAAGGTTTTGGTGGATCCTTAGTAGACATTTACCAGTTAAAGAAGATTCAGATTGTTTCCAGGTTTTTGCGACTGTGAAATAAAGCTGCTATAAATATTGACGTGGGCCGGGTGCAGTGGCGCACGCCTGTAATCCCAGCGGTATGGGAGCCTGAGACAAAAGGATAGCTTGCACTCAGGAGGTTGAGACCAGCCTACGCAACATGGCAAAACCCTATCTCTACCAAAAATACAAAAAATTAGCTGGGTGTGGTGGCGTGCACCTTTGGTTCCAGCTACTTGGGAGGCTGGGGCGGGAGGATTGCTTGAGCCTGGGAGGTGGAAGTTGTGATGAGCAGAGATTGCACCACCACACTCCAACCTGGGTGATAGAGTGAGACCCCGTCTCAAAAACAAACAAACAAACAAACAAAAACACATTGACATTCAGGTTTCTGTATGTGGACGTAAGTTTTATTTCTGTTGGATAAATACCTAGGAGCCAGGCGCTTGGTTATATGGTGTGAGTTTAAATTGATATGAAATTGCCAGATTGTTCTCCAAAGTGAATATAACACTTTGTAGTCCCACCAGCAGTAGATATGAGTCTGGGCACTTCACATCCTTGTTAGCACTTGATATTAGCAGAATTAAAAAAAAAAAAACTTACTATATATATATTTTTTTATCATTCTGTTAAACATGTAATACTACCTCATTCTGGTTCTAATCCATAATTACCTAATGGCAAATGATATTGAGCATATTTTCATGGGTTTGTTTGCCATTCATTTTTCTGTTTTACTGATGTGCTTGATCAAATCTTCAACTGCTTTTTAAAAATCATGGTAAAATATGCAGCAAAACAAAAAATTTTTTTCACCATACAGGTAAGTGGCGTTAAGTATAGTCACATTGTTGTAAATCACCACCATGGATATGGTTTAGATATTTGGACCTCTGCATCTCATGTTGAAATGTAATCCCCTATGTTGGAGGCAGGGCCTGGTGGGAGGTGTTTGGGTCACTGGGGTGGATTCTTCATGGCTTGGTGCTATCCTCGAGATAGTGATTCTCACAAGACCTGGCTGTTTGAAAGTGTGTGGCACCTTCCACCCACTTCTCCCTTGCTCCCACTCTCTTACCACGAGACGCCTGTTTCTCCTCTACCTTTTGCCATGATTATAATTTTCCTGAGGCCTTACCACAAGCTGAGCAGATGCTAGCACCATGCTTTCTGTACAGCCTGCAGAACTATGAGCCTATTAAACCTCTTTTATTTATAAATTACCCAGACTCAGGTATTCCTTTATAGCAATGCAAGAACAACCTAACACAACCATTAATCTCCTGAGATGTCTTCCTCTTCCCAAACTGAAACCTTGTATCAGCATCTTGAAAATAGCTATCTGATGAATGACTTCTAGCTGTTGTTGGTGGGCCAGTTCTGTTCTAATAATTTATCTTCTTGTATCAATTAAGTGATAACTCATATCCCCTGGCAAGCATGGTTCTACTTTCTGTGTCTGTGAATTTGCCTAGTCTACACACCTCATATAAATGAAATCACAGAGCGTTTGTCCTGTTGTGACTGGCTTAATGTAATATGTTTAAGGCTCATCCATGTTGCAAAATGTGTCAGCTATTTTAATTTAAAACAGTATTGCTATTTTAAGGCTAAATAATATCCCATTTTATGTATATAACACATTTTGTTTATCCATTTGTCTATTGAGCACTTGGGCTGCTTTCACCTTTTAGCTCTTGTGAATATACTGCTGTGAACATAGTTGCATAAAAACCTGCTCAAATTTCTGCTTTCAGTCCTTTTGAGTATATACCCAGCAATGTAACTGCTGTATCATCTGATCATTCTATTTTTATTTTATTCTTTTGAAACTTTTTGAACTTTCTACTGCTTTCTATAGCAGCTTCCTATTTTATTTTCTCACAAGAAATACAGAAGAGTTCAATTTCTCCACATTCTTGCAACACTTGTCGTTGCCCATGTTTTAAAATAACAACTG